AGGAAACTAAAGCTTGGAGGAAAGTGATTTTCTGAGGGTACCATAGATACTGGATAACATCCTGAGTCAAGGCCAAAGATGACCTAGAGAAGAAGCTTTAGTATCTCCATCAGCAGCGTTACCCTCCACCTCCCCTCCCCCAAACTCTTTCATAAACACAGCTAGGGGAGAAATGTGTGTGCATTCTAAACACAGCTTCTATTGATGGGTAAGCTCCTTACGCTTCCTTCCCAGCAGACTGCCCATCCTTAATCCCCTCCTGTATGGAAATTCTAGAGCTGCTGAGCTGAGTTGCGCTTAGTCACTCGGTCATGTCCAACTCTTCATGATCCTATGGACTGTAGTCTGTCAGGCTCCTCTGTTCATGGGATTCTCCAGGCAATAATACTGGAATAGATTGCCAGGCCCTCCTCCAGGGGATCTTCCCAACCCAGGGATCAAACCCAGGTCTCCAGCTTTGCAGGCAGATTCTTTGAGCCACCAGGGAAGACCAAGAATACTGGAGTGGGTAACCCATCACTTCTCCAAGAGAATTTCCCCACCCAGCAATAGAACCGGGGTTTCCTGCATTGCAGACAAATTCTTTACCAGTTGAGCTACCAGGGAGGCCTCGCCTAGAGCTGCTAACAGAACATAAGGCCTGGGGTTATTTCAGAGACCTTTCCTGGTTCCAACAGTCTATTACTTCCTGTCATGGTGGGGCTGGTGGGGAGGGGATGAGGAATGGACAGGTCTCTGGAGGTGACCTCAGTGGAGCCCACTTTTTCTCCTGTGGCCTGTCCAATCACTCAGGTTCTTAAGGACTCTGGAGAGACTTCTGTGCTGAAGGGCCACACAGGTCTGCCAGCCTCTACCTGAAGACCCCAAGATTGGGACAGCTTATAGTGTTAGTTGCTCTTTGCAACCCCATGGACTGTATCCTACCAGGCTCCTCTGACCCATGGGGTTTTCCAGGCAAAAATACTGGAGTGGGTTGCCATTCTCTTCTCTAGGGGATCTTCCCGACCCAGGGATTGAACCTGGGTCTCCTGCATTGCAGGCAGATTCTTTACCACAGAGCCACCAGGGAAGGCCTAGGGACAGTTTATATCATGGCTGTAATACATGGTTATTAAGGTTCGTTTTAATACTGAGAAAATCCAGCTGCTCCATGTGTAATACCTGAAAGGTGCCATTTCATGAACACTACACTGGCATTATTTTACTTATTACCACAATCCATTAGGGGTAGGAATGAATCTTCCCATCCTGAGATGAGTATGCAGGCTCAAAGAGGTCACGTGAGTACCTAAGGCTACATCTATCTGTTAAGCGGGTAGGAAGATTCTGAGAATATCTACAGTGAATATCTACAGTGAATCTACAGTGAATATCTGGGAAGGAGCAGCCGTCCCAGGGCCCAGAGTCAGAGTCTTCATCATGCCTTCAGCCTACTCTGAGCAGTTGATTGATAAACATGTCATTCACCAACTCCATCTACTTCTCAGCCACTCAGGGCTTGACGAACTGGTCTCAAGTCCTGGGAATATCTTCCCCTAACCCCTACCAGTGAAAGGTCTAGCTAGGCCCTTGAACTTCTTCTGGGTAGTTAAAAAGTGAAAGTTGCTCAGTTCTGTCTGACTCTTTGCGACCCCATGGACTGACTATACAGTCCATGGAATTCTCTAGGCCAGAATACTGGAGTGGGTAGCCTTTCCCTTCTCCAGGGGATCTTGCCAACCCAGGGATCGAACCCAGGTCTCCTGCACTGCAGGCAGATTTTTTACCAGCTGAGCCACAAAGGAAGCCCAGGGTTCAAGGAGGCCTCCTTCTCTTTCTTTTTTTCTTTTTAAAATGATTTTAATTTATTTTATTTTTGGCTGTTCTGGGTCTTGGGTGCTGCATGGGCTTTTCTCTAGTTGTGAGGGGGGCCTATTCTCTAGTTGCATGCTCCGGCTCTAGCATGCGTGCGGGCTTCGGTTGTTGCGGTACATAGGCTCGGTAATTGTGATTTGCGGGCTCAGTAGTTGTGGTTCCCAGGCTCTAGGTCACAGGCTCATTAGTTGTAGCACATGGGGTCCGCTGGTCCACAGCATGCGCGATCCTCTGGGACCAGGGATTGAAGCTGTGTCTCCTGCATCAGCAGGTGGATTCTTTACCACTGAGCCACCGGGGAAAGCTCCTCTCTGCCTTTCTTGCTGTTGGCAGCTCACTGGGCCTCTCCCTGGCTATGAGCTCCTGTCATTCAGCAGGTTGGCCTGAGCTTCCCTAAGTAGTGGCAAGAATCTGAGAGCAGGAGCTATAAGGCCCCTTGTGGCCCAGGCTCTAAAACTCACATGGTACCACCTCTGCCACATTTTACTGGTCAGAACAAGTTGCGAGGTCAGCCGAGATTCTAGGGATGGGGAAAGACTCTACCTCTTGATGGGAAAACTGTGAAATTGTTTTGCTGTGTTTTTCGATTCTTCATAACAATACATTAAATTCAGCAACAGATACCAAGATAATGCATGTCCTTGCCCCATGATAGTTCTTTCTTTTCCTGTTTTATTCATCACTTGTTTTTTTCTGTTTGTTTTGTTTGTTTATTCTGTTGGCTGTGCTGTGTGGCCTGTGGGACCGTAGTTCCCCAACCAGGGACTGAACCTGGGTCTTCAACATTGAGAGCTCGGAGTCCCAGCCACTGGACCACCAGGGTATAATTCCCTGTTTTAATCATCACTTGGTTTATTATCCTAAAATAATTTTGTGAGATCTAAAAAGATTCATACACAGACTTACAGATATTGAACACAAACTTACAGTTACCAAAAGGGAAATGTGGGGAGAGAGAAATCAGGAGCTTGGGATTAACATACACATACTTCTATATATAAGATAGATAACCAATAAGGATCTACTATATAGCACAGGGAAGTTTGCTCAATATTCTGTGATAACCTGTATGAGAAAAGAACCTGAAAAAGAATAAATATATGTATACATATAACTGAATCATTTTGCTGTATACTTGAAACTAACACTGTAAATCATTTTAATTTCAGTTCAGTTCAGTCACTCAGTCATGTCTGGCTCTTTGCAACCCCATGGACTGCAGCACTCCAGGCTTCCCTGTCCATCACCAACTCCTGGAGCCTACTCAAACTCATGTCCATCCAGTCGGCAGTCCAAGGGACCCTCAAGAGTCTTCTCCAACACCATAGTCCAAAACCATCAATTCTTCAGCTCTCAGCTATCTTTATAGTCCAACTCTCACATTGATACATGACTAATGGAAAAACAAAATAGCTTTGACTAGACAGACCTTTGTTGCTAAGGTAATGTCTCTGCTTTTTAATTTGCTGTCTAGGTTGGTCATAGCTTTTCTTCCAAGGAGCAAGTGTTTTTTAATTTCAGGGCTGCAGTCACTATCTGCAGTGATTTTGGAACCCAAGAAACAGTCTGTCACTGTTTCCATTGTTTCCCCATCTATTTGCCATGAAGTGATGGGACTGGATGCCATGATCTTAGTTTTCTGAATGTTGAGTTTTAAGCCAACTTTTTCACTCTCATCAAGAGGCTTTTTAGTTCTTCTTTGCTTTCTGCCATAAGGGTGGTGTCATCTGCGTATCTGAGGTTATTGATATTTCTCCTGGCAATCTTGATTCCAGCTTGTGCTTCATCCAGCCCAGCATTTCACATGATGTACTCTGCATATAAGTTAAATAAGCAGGGTGACAATATACAGCCTTGACGTACTCCTTTCCTGGTTTGGAACCAGTCTGTGGTTCCTTGTCCAATTCTAACTGTTGCTTCTTGACCTACATACAGAATTCTCAAGAGGCAGAATTTAGGGACTCCTGAACTCTGTTCTCTCCATTATGTAGATGAAAACAAAGGCTTGATAAGGGGAGTGATTTTTGTCATGGGTCTGTGGTGAGTTAACCCTGGACCTCAATCTTGCTTTTGGGTTTTGGGATTTCCAAGTCTGTGCTCTTTTTTCACCAGACCACACCATCTCTCTGGTTCTGACAGTGAAGTGCTACAGGCAGGATATTTGTTTCTAAGGTGCTACATATTTCAACTGACTCCTTGAAACTTGCCATAAGCCACTTCCAATTCTCAAGAGTCACTTTTCATACTTTGATCATGCCACTTGATTTCATTTTTGCCTGATGAGCATTTGCTTGGGAACATCAAAACGCTTCCCTTCTTCCATGGATTTGCTGTCCCTATGTCCTGCCTTCTCCTGAAGCCAGCCTGGCGGAAGCTCCATTGGTGGACCTTCTGATCATGCTTTTTATTTTTTTTTCAGACTGTGATGTGACAACAGACTGGAAAAGTGGAGACAAATAGTCTCCAAGTCACTTCCCTATTTTTGAGACCAGGTTCCTCATCTAGTTCAGAGGGCAATGGTGGTTTTGTATTTTTCTAGTAATTGCAGCTTAGTTTTCCTTGGGAAAACTATCTTCCCGTTGTCATTCCATATTTTGACTGGAAGACAGTCCACTCCTGGCACAAAGTTTCTATATTAGTCAGGACTCTTTCAGCTGTAATTGATAAACATGACACTCAAACTGGTTTAACCAAAAGCAAAACATGCACCAGAAATCAGATCCACCCTGGATAATGAACCCTCTTAATGGAACAGCCCAAGAGTTGCTCCTCCAATCGTTGGATTCAGGTTCTGTTTATCTCGGTATTACGAATGGGGCAACGGAGGTTCATGGAGACAATGATTTGGGCAAAGAGCCAGTAAAAGCGAAAGTTAAGCCAAGTTGGCCTGATGCTGGAGCAGAGAATAGTCTAAACTGTCTCTCTTGTGGGTGCGTCGCTTTGAAGGAAAAAACATTCACCTCCAAGGGGGCGGAGCTATTAATCTCAAAAGGAAGGGCCGACACCTAAAAGGGTGGGGCTGTGCTTGAGGGGGCGGGGGGTGGGGCCAGAACCTGGGCGTGTTCGGAGCCAGAGGGGCGGGGCGAGAGCTGAGGGCCGCTAGGTAACTTTGGCGCCTGCGCAGAAGCCCCGAACTCCTAAGAGGCTCTCACGGAGTCTCGGCGGCGGTGCCCACTCGCGCGCTCCGCGTGGGTCGCTTCGCTCTAGTCAGACGCCAGGGTCGGCCATGAACCCGTGCGCTGACGCGCGGGCCGTGGCGGCCACTGTGCCGGGAGCTGGCGTCGGGAACGCGGGGCTGCGGCCGCCCATGGTGCCCCGTCAGGCGTCCTTCTTCCCGCCACCTGTGCCCAATCCCTTCGTGCAGCAGACGCAGCTGGGCGTGGCGAGGCGCATCCAGGTGCGGGGCGAGGGTCTGACAGGAGAGGTAGATTCTAGTGAGGGGCATGGGTTAGAGGGAGGAGGGCAGAGCCCGGTGAGGGACGGCTGACGGGGGAGGCAGACCCAGGTGAGGGATGTGAGTCTGAGGAAAATTCAGGGGAGTGACTAGAGACTGACAGGCAAAGCAGATTCAGGTGAGGGATAGGAGTTTGACAGCGAAGGTAGTCCAGGTGAGGGGAGTGGGTCTGAGGGAGGAGGCAGTTTGAGGGGGTCCATGGGTCCGTCAGGGGAGGCTGTTTTTAGAGGGCAGTGTGGGTGTGAAGGGGAAATGACTGAGGGGAGTGAGTCTGGGAAGCCAGGCTCGAGGAAGAAAGGGATGTAAATCTGAGAAGGGAGGGCTTCTGAAGGGGCCAGGAGTCTGCAGCAGGCAGAAGATGCTGCGCTGAGAATTTAGGACCCTTGGAGGATGCTTGGAGGTCTGGGTGTGTGTGTGAGAAGAGAAGATGCAGAGAGCATGTGGGTCTTGGGAGAAGGTGCTGACTTACAGGAGGAGGCTGAGCAGGCCCATGAAGAGGAAACATTCTATGCTGAGAATAGGAAAGGGCTCTGGGAGAAGAACTTCAACCTGAGTGTGTGAAAGTGTAGTGGGAGCTCATCGTACTGCAGGAGAGTGGGTTTGGGGAGATTTTTGTTGTTTTGCCTGAGGGAAGGAGAGAAGTCCTTTTGGGATGAGAAGAGTGAGGGAAAAGGCAGAGAACCCAGGTCTGGAATTAGAACCAGAAGAAAGGTGGGATGTTTTGGCCGTGCAATTGCATCAAGGGTGGGAAATCACACCACCACCAAGAAAAGTTATAATATGGGTCCACTTAAGGCATTCAAGAGTTTTTGGTCCTGGATTGGTTTTCACCCAAACACTTCTCATAGATTCAAGGACAAGAGACTTTCTCTCGTTGTTAAAAACGGCTCTATACAAAAAGGAAGTTCCTGTCCTTTCCTTTTTCTTGTAAAGCACTGCTTTTACCATTAGCAGTTACACTCACTCTTTGGACTTCCTCTTTGGTGAAGTTAGTGATCAGAGAACAAGATAGACTATGCAAGCTACATTTGTCCTATGTGTTCTGCATGGGAAAAAAATTGTTTTAATGTTTCCTGTCCATCTTACATATTTATTTACTTTGGATTTGAAATAGTGTAATTTTTGCACAGCATGCTTATCTGCACTGAGACCATTGTACTCTACGGCAGAGATAGGTTAAGTGTTGGGCTAAGCAGTGTGGGGTGGTGGTTACAGTAATGGTTGATGGGTGTCTGAAGGTATGAAAAAGGAAGAGTAAGATAATGAATGTAGCAATACCTCTTTGTAAATAAACTAAATGTTTAAAAACTTGATCTTAAAATGTGTCTTAAAATGGATTGATATTCCCATGATATCTTAAAATTACTGAAAGTGAAAGTCACTCAGAAACTTAATAAATTCATTGACTTTCATTCAGAATTCCTTTTGGCCTGAGTTCATCAAATCAGTTATACTTAAATGAAAATACATCCATCTCTTTGGCTTCATGTATTGGAGAAAGTCTCAAAGTGGCATGTTTTAAGTATGTACATTGTACCTGGATTACTAAGTTTTTGAGTTTTTGTTTTTTGTTTTTTTTAATAGCATGCCTGCAGTCATTTAGAGAGCACTTCCAAGTAACTCTATAAGAATTGTGATATAATGGAATGATCACTAGTCTTAGAAAACCTGCTCAGGCCCTGTCATTTGTAAGTTGTATGACTGGCCAAGTCAGTTGACCTCTCTGAACTTCACTTTCCTTATCTATTAAGTTGGAATAATAATACATCAAAGGAGGGTTAAAATTAAGTGAGACAATATGTGAAAGAACCTGATATTGTTTGCTGATCTTGATAGTTATTAATGCTATTTGTTATCTACAAATTGTATACTGTATTTAAAATCTACCACTTGGATTGGATAGAAATGAATACAGTTGCAATATTTTTTAAAAAGTTAAAATGCATGTAGACAGAGATTCCAAAGTAGTTTCAATGGCTTGAACAGTCTGGGTAAAGGAAAATTTAAATAGACACGATTGAAAAACAATGTTGTCTGTATTATCCAGTTTAAAAGATTGACATACTTGAGTTTAAGGATGACTCAATATGATGAATTTAGGCTAAATGTAATCTTAAATGATGATCAATATCTTGTTTAAGGACTGTTGTCACTTTTGCCTTTCATTGGGCTTAGCTTTACTGCTCCTCCTCTCTTTTTGACTGTTTAAGGGTTTGTTCCATAATAGCATGGAAAAAATTAGCCTAGCTTTTCTTTCCTCAATAGAATATGGAATTAAAACAAGTGTTTGCTTGTAACTGTGGGTCATTTACCATACCAAAAATATTTGTTGGATGCCTACCATATGCCAGGCACAATGTTACTCTCTGGAGATAGAGATATAATGAACAAGAGAAATAAGGACTCTGCCTATCTTAAGCCTATATTTCACTAAAAAAGTTAAACAAGCAAGTATAGAAATATATATATAATTCCATGTCTTAGTAAGTACTATGAAGAAAGAGAGGAAAATAATTTCAATAGTGTTAAAAGAAGGCCTTCCTACAGAGATAACTTATTACCAAAAGAAAATATGATGCATAATCCTCTTAATCTGACAGAGAGTTACTCAAAATTGGTTTTGTCATCTTAATAATGTTTAAGGATTAAAATTTTAAATCAGCAGCAACTGCAAAATGAAATTAAATAATCTCATGATAGCAATAAGTGAAAGTCATTCAGTCGTGTCTGACTCTTTGCAACCCCATGGACTACACAGTCCATGGAATTCTCCAGGCCAGAATACTGGAGTGGATAGCTGTTCCCTTCTCCAGGGGATCTTCCCAACCCCAGGGATCAAAGCCAGGACTCCCACATTGCAGGCAGATTCTTTACCAGCTGAACCATCAGGGAAGTCCAAGAATACTGAAGTGTGTAGCCTTAAATGATGATCTTTTGCAGCAGATCTTCCCAACCCAGGAATTGAACCGGGGTCTCCTGCATTGTAGGCAGATTCAAGACCACTACAATGAAAACAACAGAACACTATTGTAAGAAATTAATGAAGATTTACATAAAATAAAGAGGTATATCATGTTTGTAAGTTGGAAGAATCAACATTATTAAGATGGTAATTCCTCCCAAATTGATCTATAGGTTCATCGAAAGCTCAACAAAAATTCCAACAGGCTTTTTGTGTGGAAACTGACAGATTAATTCTGAAATTTATGTGGAAATAAGGATCTAGATTATCCCAAAAAAAGTTTCAAAAAAGAAAAAGTTGGAGGACATATACCACCAGATTTCAAGACTTACTACAAGACTACAGCAATTAAGAAAGAAGGGAATTGACAGACATACAGACGAATAGATCAACAAAACAGAAGAGAGAGCCTACATGTATGTTCAATGGATTTTTTTGACAAAGTGGCCAACAAAATTTATTGGGGAATGTGGAGTCTTTTCAAAATTAGTTCTGGGGATGGCGCTGCACTGGCCGTCTAATGGTTAAAACTCTGCACTTCCCTGCAAGGGGCATAGCTTTGATCCCTGGTCCAGGAACTAAGATCCTACAGGCCTCACAGCTAAAAAAAAAAAGCAGGGGCCGGTTCTGGAACAACTAGATAAATCTGTAGATGAAATGAAACTTGATCCCTACTGTACACCAACACAGAAAGTAATTTACAATGGATCGTAGACTTGAACATAAAAGCAAAATCCATATATCATCTGGAAGAAGAAGATATAAAATATCTTCATGATCTTGAGTTAGGTAAAGATGTCTTAGAAAGGTGGCAGAAGAGAACTAAATTGATAAATTAGTCGTCTTCAGAATTAAAATGCTTCTCATTGAAAGATACCAATAAGAAAGTGAAAAAGCAAACCATGGAATAGGAGAAAATATTTTCAATACATATATTGAAAAAGGGCTTATAAACAATATATGAAGACCTCCTAAAAATTGATCAGAAAAGGACTAACAACCCAATGAAAATGGACTAAAGACTTGAACAGATAGGTTAAAGGGATGACCAATAAGCGCATGAAAAAATTTGCTCAGCATCATTGTTCATTAAGGAAACCACAATGAGATATCATTTTACACTCACCAGGATGGCTACAAAGACTGACAACACTGAAAATTGATGAGGATGTGAAGCAACAGGAACTTTCATACTTCATTGGTGGAGGTAAAAAATGACACAACCACTTTGGAAAACAATTTGGCATGTTCTTTAAGCACATCCTGGCCTGACAATTTCACCACCACCCACCATGAATGAGCATGTATGAGACTCGAAAATTGATGTTTACTCATATAGCTAAGAACTTATGATAGGCTAAATGTCCCTGAACAGATTAATGGGTAAATTAATTGCAGTATATTCATACAATGGAATGTTACTCTGCAACGAAAAAGACTGTATTACTGATACATATGACAACATGGTTGAATCTCAAAAATATGAAGTGAAAGAAGCCAGATGTAAAAGAGTACATACTATGTGGTTTCATTTATATGAAAATATGGAACAGGCAAAAACTATAGTGAAAGACTGGCAGTGGTTGCCATACACTGAGGATATATTGACTGCAAAGAGACACAAGGGAACTTTTTTGAGTGATGGAAATGATCTATATCTTGATTATGGTGGTGTCTGCATAGGGCTATACATTTGAAAAGCTCATATTTAAAATAGGTGTATTGTATTTTATGTAAATTATGCCTTCATAAAATTGATTTTTTAAAAGTGATTTTAAACACCAAATGTCAGCAAAGATATACAGTGACTGGAATTCTCATACACTACCAGTGACATTTTAAAATGATACAACTGGACTTCTGGTGGTTAAGAATCCACCTTGCAATGCTGGTGACACAGCATTCAATTCCTGGTCTGGGAAGATTCCACATGCCACGGGGCGACTAAGCTTGTGTGCCACAACTACTAATCCTGCATCCTGCACTACCACTAAGCCCAACACACCTTTTCTTTGTTTCCCCAGCAACCCCTATTCACATTCACTGGTTTTCTCCCCTATTTCTTTTGCTACATAGTAGACTTTGTGATCGGAGAAGGCAATGGCACCCCACTCTAGTACTCTTGCCTGGAAAATCCCATGGATGGAGGAGCCTGGTAGGCTGCAGTCCATGGGGTCTCGAAGAGTCAGACATGACTGAGCGACTTCACTTTCACTTTTCACTTTTATGCATTGGAGAAGGAAATGGCAACCCACTCCAGTGTTCTTGCCCGGAGAATCCCAGGGATGGGGTCACATAGAGTTGGACACGACTGAAGTGACTTAGCAGTAGCAGTAGCAGACTTTGTGATGTCAGATATAATGTCTTATTTTCTTTGTGCTTAGATCATTGCCTGGTGCAGGGTAATGCTCAATTCATCTTTGAGTGAAAGCTTGAATAGCATAAGATTTTTCTTTTACGTATATCTGTTTGATAACTACAGCATTAAAATAATGTCATCCATTTTTTTTTAAATCAACTTTGACTTTCAGATTTTCTTCCTTGGAATTATCCTGCTTCCAATTCGTGCCCTATTGGTTGCATTAATTTTATTACTGGCGTGGCCACTGGCTGCAATTTCAACAGCATGCTATCCTGAAAAGCTGACCCACCCAATAACTGGTTGGAAGAGGTAAGAAGTAACTATGTTTAAATATTAGGTGAATCAAGATTAGAAGAATTTATCGAAGTTTGGGCAGTGATCAACAGTTGTGGCTCTGAATATAGGATATTTTGGAATGCAGTCTTTAGAGGCTATGCTGTGTTGTTGTGCTTAGTCGCTTAGTCATGTCCGACTTTTCGCAACCCCACGGACAGAGGAGCCTGGAGGGCTACAGTCCATGGGGATTCTCCAGGCAAGAATACTGGAGGGGGTTGCCATGCCCTCCTCCAGGGGATCTTTCCAACCCAGGGATTGGACCTTGTTAGAAGCTATATCACTATAAATCAAAAACAGGAGGTCTGGAAGTTCTGTGACAGGGTGAGCTCTTTATCTTGAAATAAATAAAGATCTCAACTCTTAAACTACAGAGCAAGGAGAGAGCGATCATTTCCCTGTGCCCTCCTGAAAAGCACTTGGGCTTTCTGTGTCTCACTTCTCACCATGAAATAAAAGTTAGAGAAACTTTCTTGGGAGTTAGTTGCTTAATAGCTCTTCACAGTTTTATTATGTGAATGTTGAGAAAATTCAATAGGAAGCTCATTTTTTAAAATTCTTGTTAGATGTCTTATGGGAGACACATATTTTTCATGAAAAGCTATATGCTTATTCACATACTGAGATGTCTATCATGTGTTTGCACTTCTAGGACTGTGTTTTTGTTTTTCTACTCAATTGAGTTTATCAGAGACTGGATCTTACTTGTCTTATGTGTCCAACAGGATTCCTGGCACAATTTGATTTAACTAATTTTTAACAACAGCTTCTTTTAAAATAGTAAACAAATCAATAACCAGAATTAAGTGCATCTTTGTTCCAGGGAAGTGAGATAATAAATTTACTACTTAAGATTCTTCATGATCTTTAAGGGCTATAATGATATAAGTAATAAGACTTACTTTTAAAATTTTATTTTTAAAATAACTCTGAGGACTGTTTCAGCATGCTAGTTCTAAAAGTGTTTTGGGGGGTAGCAGCATCTTTGTTACACAAATGTAGATATCTAAGGTGACTCATATGAAGGACAAGACTGATTTGAATTTCTCAGGGGGGGATGCATGTTGAAAATTCATTCTTATTACTTTATAGTCACAGAATAATGGAGCCACTTAGGCACGTGGCCTTGGAAAAATTGCTTCTCTGGGCCTCAGTTTTCTCATCTGTAAAATGGGAATGATGATAAATGCTCTCTGTTTCATAAAATTGGGCTAGGGATTAAAGAAATTAATATGCATAAAGTACTTAGAACAGTGCCTGGCAGAAAGAGCTCCACTGAAGTGTTAGCTGTTCTTCCTAGCTGATATTTTAAAATGAAGTGCTGACATGGTTTGGTTTTTACTTTGTGCTTTAGAGTAAAACCCTGCTGTTAGCTGCAGTTGGTAAAGCTAATTATGTCCATTTTTATATTTATTTCCAAAGGAAAATTACTCTGCCAGTCTTGAAGTTTCTAGGCCATGTCATGTTCTTCTCAATGGGGTTTGTAGTTACTGTGAAAGGAAAGATTGCAACTCCGTTGGAAGCACCAATTTTTATCGTTGCCCCTCACTCAACATTCTTTGATGGAATTGCGTGTGTTGCAGCTGGATTACCTTCTATAGTATCTCGAAATGAGAATGTGCAGGCACCTCTGATTGGCAGTAAGTACGCTGTAAGACAACAGAGATAAAATATTTTCATGTTCATGCTTTAAATTTAGAAAATCCTGTATAGTTTACTGATTAATTTTTTAAAGACTTAAAAATAATAAAACATTTCAAACATATTTCATTGCTTTTAATGAGGTACTATATCAAAAGAATGAATTTATGAAAATAGATTGAAGACTTCCCTACCTATATCTCATCATTCTTTTTATTTTTAAAAAATTTTTAAACCTTTCAGACATAACTCTTTTAAATGTTTATCTATTTATTTCATTTATCTTTTTGGCCGTGCCGTGCAGCATGTGGGATCTTAGTTCCCCTACCAGGGATCAAACTGGCACCCCCTGCAGGGAATGCACAGTCTTAACCACCAGATCACTAGGGAAGTCCCCTATCATTCTTTTTTAAACCTTACCTCTGCCGCTGCACCATCGCTTCTTCCTGCTCCTAAATATAAGCCAAAACGAACAGTTTTTCAATACAAAATATGGTAAATTTTTTTAGAGAGAATTTAATTGAAGAATTTGTGAAAGCACCAGTTACATAGTATTTCAATGAATTTCTCTTCAGGGTATTCAACTGATAAATGCAATAAGTCTTTTCTTTTAATTCGGTTTTCTTCATTATTGCCCCCAAATCTCCACGAGGGACAAATGTGTAACTCTTTGAAAATTATGATGTAGAACAGTAAATGCTTCCTGCCATAAAAATAATGAAACAAGTGAAATGTTTTTTCCCACCAGATACTTTGCTGTCTCCCTGGGTGATTAGTCTCTAAGTAACTGCTTCCAGTTGTCCCAAGACTATTGCCAAGCATCAGGTGGTGAGAGGGTAGGTTTGAAAATTGCCTGATGCTGTCTTGGTACTCTAGAGAAAATAATAGTAGTTCTTACAGCTTTGTCATTCAGCTAAGAAAGACACACACACTCTCTTTCTTTTTTTTAAAACATAACCACCTTGCTTTGTGTAACATGACATTTTCCCCCAAAGTTGTTTAGCAATAGATTTTTGGTGAAATGAGGTTTATTGTGCTAGGAAGCTACCTATTTAAAAGACTATTGCACTGATAATTTTATTAAGATAAATAGCAATTGCTCCCTACCCACATGTACTGTGGCTTCATAAAATCAGTTTGCAATATTATTGTGGGAATATTCCCAAAATAAAACAAGACAATCTTATGGTGTATTGCAAATGTTTAATGTAAATTGAGAAAGAAGTCTTTTAGGGAGAAAATTGCATTTTTTTTTCATATTCCTCTTGCTAACTTCTGTCAAATCAATGAAATATTTTTAAGTATAAATAGCCACCTGTCCTTTTGAAGCCAGAATCTATTAATAAGTTCTAACAAACTTTGAGTTAGAGGGTTTTTTAAGTTGTTCTCTTTGATTTGCTATCTTTTTAATTTTCCATGCAATTTGTTATATGATTTGGTATCATTTCTATAGTAGCTGTAGCCCAAAAAATGACTTATGACTTTTCATTTGTTTTAAAGGAATATTGCGGGCCTTGCAGCCAGTGTTGGTATCCCGTGTAGATCCAGATTCTCGAAAAAACACAATAAATGAAATAATAAGGCGGGCTACATCAGGAGGGGAATGGCCCCAGGTAAAACACAGTAGATGTTTATTTAAATATATTGAAATTCAATATATATTCAATATATAAATATATTGAAAATTTATTTTTTGTACACTTGTATATATTCATTTGGATCCACAGATAACAATATCAGGGGACAATTTATGCTAGTTGTCTTTAGCATAATAAAAGCAGAATAAATGAGTAAGGATTAAGAGGTCCTCTTCTGCATGAGATACTCCTAGAATTAAATGTATCATTCTTTTTTATTCTCCAAACTCTTTGAACTAGTTTTTACTTTGTGTCATAAAAAGTAATTCTCTTCCTCTGAATTTATTATCATTTTAAAGATGAGCTACTAAAGCTCAGTTATTCTCAAAAATATGGTGGGTGGGTATATTTTGAAAGTGATTAATATCATAAGATTATCTGAAGTATATTTAGATAGTGCTTTTCAGTTCAGGGGGCATATGAGAATCACCTGTAGAACTTTTCTACGTTTTACCATCCCATCTCCTTGAAATGCTTTTTTTTTTTTTAATTTGTTTATTTTTGGCTGTGTCTGGTCTTAGTTATCCTGCAGAATGTGGGGTCTTAGTTCCCTGCCCAGGGATTGAACCCACCTCCCCTGCATTGGAAGACAGATTATTAACTACTGGGCTACCAAGGAAGTCCCTGGAATGCTTTTTGAAGGTGTGGAAGGAAAATTTATTGCATAAATAGAGCCTCATGGGTGATTCTGATAAGTACCCCCCTGCCTTTGACCACGTGAAAACAAGTGATCTCTAACAGAACTCATGGTCCTGAGGTGATCTGGCTACTCGTGGTAATGTTTAAAGTACCAAGAGGCATATGATCAACCAGGAGGTTTTAGAAATCAAGGCATGTGAGGAATGATTTAAAGAGTGACTGGGAAGAAATGACATTTGGAATAAGGGTTTGATTTTGTTCTTTGGCTTCAAGGAATTTATCTAGGACTGGCGGGTGAAAGTTAACAAGATTTCAGTTCACTTTGCTCATTTCAAGGAACTTCCTGTCCAGAATTAGAATGGTCTGATTTGGAACCTCTTTCTGGAGTGTTCAGGCATTGGCTAGGCAACCAGTTGAGGGGGATATTGTAAAAAGAATTCAAGTATTAGAGATGCTATATGATGTTTAATGTCCCTTCCAGTTCTTGAGAGTTTATGATTTACTCTATATTAATTTATTCTTCATGGTATAGCTATAGAATATCCATTACATGAATTATATTTGCTATTGTAGCCAATTGGAATAGAAAACCTGTTTGTTTGGTTTTTTTTTAAGTTGGAGAATGTAATCACACCTATTCACAATTTTTATTTTACAAATAACTTGTTATTATGGCAGTTTATCTTACTAATTACTTTAATTATTATAAAATACCTATTACTAAATGCTGTAAGTGCAGGGATTTTGTTTATGGCTTAGCAATTTACTCATTGCTAAATTCCAGAAGCTTCAGAAAAATCAATCTGCTGTTTTATTCAGTTAATGGGGAACTGTAGTGCATAGTTTTTGTGTGGAAATCATAATATATTAAAAGCTAAAAACACCTCCTCAGAAAAGAATATTAAATTGTATTCCATATGTCAACAAATTCAGGTAAGCATAAAGCATCATTTAATGGGAAAACTGAAACAGAAGTAGCGAATGATTTAGTTCAAAGTATATACCAGTAGAAGAAAGAATTTAATATTGTGTAAAATGAATGCAACTTTGACCATGATTCAGGGTCTACAACTTCTGTGAAGCCTTTTCAGATCTTTAGCATCAACATTAAGAAACATTTACTGTGTATATTCTCTTTTCAAAACTTTAATTCATTTTCAGGTTATCTTAATGGTCAGACCATACTTCTTTTAGAGCAAAACTGAATAATCTGATTCTAGGTTTCACTGGAATCAAGTGCTAGCCTTTTATTTTATTTTTGCTTTATAAAAATTGGCAACTGTGAAATCATAAGAAAGCAAGTAAAGAGGTAATCTGTTAATTAGACTGACGTATTAAATCTATTCCTTTTCTCCCAAGATATTAGTTTTCCCAGAAGGTACTTGTACTAATCGGTCCTGTTTGATTACTTTTAAACCAGGTGAGATCAATTAAATTATGTATTGTGACAAAATAATATGGATGATTTCTCAAATGATCTAATAATAAATATACAAAATAACTCATCAGTTTGCTTGGAACATTTCTTATTTTCTGATAAAAAGTTTTCAATAATGTGAATCCACAGCTCACTCTTTTACTTTCTCTTTTGGTATCATAACACCTTCTTCTTTGGAATGTCGTATGTGTGTGTGAGTGTGTGTTTGAGCAGAAACCACTAGCAATTTTTCTTTTCCTCCAAGAACAACCCCTACAGACACTTGGGGTCTGTGTCATCAAGTTAGAAAACCTATTTCAATTATCATTATAATGCTTTCAATTCCTTCTGAGGTTCATGCCTTTTAAAAATATTATGAAGTTGTGAATTTTATAGCAATTTATAATTTCATATGTCATTTCACAGTAATTACTAATATTTTTAAATAGAGATAGAAAGAATATTTTAAGTGACTTAGGCATAACATTTAATATTTTGCTTACATATTTCTAAATTTAAAAATCTCTCATTTTGGCTAACATTAGGAATTTACCAACATTTAGCCAATAGTTTATGTGTACTCTTAAAACATTTAGTATATTTACATCATTTATTATTAATTTTTTAATCACTCTAAAACCTGTATTCACATAAAGAGCATGTTGTAAAATTTCACTATGTGGTTATAGGAGCCTTCATTCCAGGAGTTCCAGTGCAGCCAATTCTCCTCAGGTACCCAAACAAGCTGGTAAGCATCATATTTTGCTATGAGAAGAATCTCACCATTCCAAACAGCACAAATTCTCTAGGACCCCTTTTGCTTGAATAAATTGATGAATAGATAAATGGTGGGAACAGGTGAGCAGTCTCATTCTCCTTGCCACATTTAGTTTTTAAAAATGTGGGAGACTGGGGAGTTCCCTGGTGGTCCAGGGGTTAGGGCTTCACCTTCTGGTGTTGGGAGTGAAGGTTGGATCCCTGGTTGAAGAGCTAAGATCCCACATGCCTCATGGCCAGAAAATCAGAACATAAATAACAGATGTAATATTATAACACATTCAATAAAGTTTTCTTTTTAAAAATCTGAAGCCTGGTTTACAACCTTAAAAAAAAGATACTTTCTTAAGAAACTTGTGAGGTAGGCACAAATTGGTTGATACCAACTTTTGATACTGCTTTTGCTATTACTAAGCTACAGGAAGATATCTCCTTAGCTTCTGCCTTGTTGTTCCTGTGATGGTATGAGCAAGTCTCAGCTCCAGGGTCTCTTAGATTGGATTTGAAAAAGCTCTCATAAAGTTGTGATTTTTCATTAAGCTTGAAAGGAATAACTTCTCCTGATTCAATGGTCATTACTGGTGGAGAAGGATTGAAGTAGCAGGATAAATTTGGAAGAGGCTTGGTGTTCAATGACAGTCAGTACTTAGTAGCTGTGACACTTGGCAAGTAGCTTAAATAAGAAAATAGCTGCAAAGAACTTCACATTCTACAGAAAGTCTATATGGGCTCAGGAAATAGTCTTTGCTCTGGCAAGATGCATTGTTGTCTCCTGGATATTGGTTGTGTCACCATTTTCCTAAAGAAAGTCATTTTTTGGCAGGGAGAGGGATGTTTTGTTTCTGAGAGGAACTTTCTTTACTATAGAATTTACATAAAAAGGCAAGATGTAATTATTTGTGATTATGTTATTTAAGATTGAGTGCTTGATCAACTTCCTATCAGTGGTTGATTTCTCAGCTTTGCACACTTTTAGTTAATTTATCAAAGTTTTGGTCAATATACTTCTGCCTATGGATTTGCATTTGTCATTTATCCAAATTCCTTCACTCTGTACTTTTTCACTACTATAGTCTCTTCTCCCATGTAAACTTCTTTTTGAGAACTGACGTGTTCTGGTTTTTGTGACAATTAATTATCCAGATATGTTTGTATTAGGAAAAGAGTTAAGCATACACAATAGTTTAAAAAAAAAAATTCAGAGCAACTTCATTCCATAAAAAGATACGTGGTTACATATGGATGACAGACAGATCTTTGCCATGTAGATATATAATCCAAGAATTGATAGATCACTTCACTATTGTTTAGTGCTTATTTTACTTTTCAACATATTGCTTTTAATTCAAAAAGGAAGTATATGAATACCAATATCAAAATAAAATTTTTTATTTTGTTTGATATTTTTTCTGTAATAGTTTAAATACTATTGTTATTCTAGGATACTGTGACTTGGACGTGGCAAGGATATACATTGTAAGTTGCTTACATTATTATTCATTTATATAAATTCTATTCAAGTGATGAAAGAGAAAGAATATGTTCTTTTTTTTTTTAAAGCCTTGTTTTTGTAGAAGTAAAGATTTCTCATCAGAGCCTTAAATAACTGATAAGTTTCTGTAGAGAGCATAACTATCTTGCCCATTAAACCCCAGTGTCTCCCATGTGCAGAATTCTAGTTGTTTGTCAGTTCTAATGTGCCTCAAGTGTTTACCAATTCTTAAGAAACATTCCAGTGATCTCATTTGCATCCTCTTTAGCTTAAATTTTGTAGTTTCATTCTCATTGAAAATTTAACGTTATCTGGTGTCTCCATCTTTTTTTCACTTCATTGGTTTAAACAGTCCAGAGCAGTTTAGTCATATGGCCTGAAATAGTTGTGATAATGTCTGATTTGAGTTGAGGAAATAGCTAAGCAAGTTTTCACTTCCACTCTTGGGTTTTGAGAGGCTGGGAAATCAGCAGTTTCTGTAAACAGTTAAGAGAAGAGAGGAATACAGTTTCACTCTTAAACAAGCTGAAGTGAAATAGACCTTTTAAAAAGAACAGAACACATAGAATCTTACTTTCTCTCAAGAAGTTCTTTTGTTTAGTTCTCTTCCCTATTCATTCAGGTGCCTCCTTTGGTCCTTTTACCTGTGCAGACAACATTGACATCCCTCAGTGTTCACCTCAAGGAACCTAGCTGGCTTTGGGCTGCAGGAGAGAAAAATAAAATTATAAACCTTCCCCAAAATAAAAAAAAAATAATAAAAAAAAAAGACAACCTGTTTACATTTTGGGTTTGAGGGCTTTCCCAGAGCTTAGGCAATAATGCCTTTTGATACTGTTACACACAGAGCTCAAATTATTGATGGATAGGTGACCATCACTTGGAAATATTTACAAGAAATCATACTTTGCCTTCAAATACATTGTAGACAATCCAAACAACTTATGAAAATTAGATTTTTTCCGCTACAAACTTATTTTCTCCATTTTCTGTGTATGTAAATTGCTTTGAAATAATACATTTAAATCAGAATAGATGGGCTGATTACATGTGTTAATAAATACTGATACTTGTGAGACATTTATATTCCTGTTATGCTTCAGTCCTTGGTAGTCAAAGTTAAGTAAATAACACTATAAATAGGGCACATAAACTGTAAAGGATATCTATTTATTCCCTTGGCTAGAATACCTTTCCTGTCATTACTAATTTTGAATTCCTGGTTTTCAGAAACAAATAGTATGAGAACATTTTAGAAACAAATACCTGAAAATTGAGAGATAACATATTTATATTTCCTGAGGTATGTCATCCTCAGTGCCTTTACAAGTTAAGTCCTCTTAGAGATAGTGACTTTGGGTTCATTGTGAATTTTTTTGGTTTTGCAGCTGGAGTAGTGGAAAATGAAGGTCAAATAGGAGATTGGGAGTAAATAGAGTGGCTGAGTATTTAATCTAGGCTTCTAACCTGAGAAGTATGTGACAGGAGGAAAATAGGAGAGACAAGACAGCTAAGAAAGAGAGGAAAAAAAATTTTTCAGAGTTAAAGATATCTTAGGATTTGTAAACAAACACAAGACCTTCTAAAGAAACAACTTTTTTATCTTAGGTCACATCGCACTCATGCATGGTAACATCCCATTTTTACCTTATCTTCTCATCTCCATCATATTATATTTAGCACTGTGCCTATTATGTCTAAATCAGTTTCCCCAATTGTCCTTGAGGATTCCATAAGAAATGCTGTTTGGTTTGTCTGTAGTGTGGACAAGTCGAGTTTAAAGAGATGTTGTGTGTGGTTTCATTTTTTTTTTAAATAGTGTTCAAAATTTTCAAATCAATATTCAAATCATTGAATTCCAAAGCTCTTTTTTAATCATTAAAGAACAATTTACTTAATGAGAGATAATATGGATTGGCTTTTATTTTCATGGGCCCACATTTTTTTTTTCACTATTAAAAAAAATTTAGTAACATAATAGTCTACTCAGGAGTTTTTCTATAGACAAATACTGTATCTTAAAATATGACTGTGAGTAGTTTTCTCTAGGGCTAGGAGTCTTAGCTGTCAAGGAGACTTCAAATTTGGGGTGCATTCTGGGGTTCAATATGTACCACAAATACATATTTGGTATTGTGCTTGGCAATTTAACCTTTGAATATCAAGAATAGTTCTCTATCCTCCAGTTAAAAAAAATATCCTATGATAAACCATGGGGGCTTCCCAGGTGGCACAGTGGTAAAGAATTTGCCTGCCAATGTAGGAGATGCAAGACACAGGTTCAATCCCTGGGTCAGAAATATCCCCTGGAGAAGGAAATGGCAATCCACTCCAGTATTTTTGGGAAATCCCAAGACAGAGGAGCCTGTTGGGCTACAGTCCATGGGGTTGCAAAGAGTCAGACATGACAGAGCAACTGAGCACATGAGAAACCATAAAGGAAAAGAATATTAAAAAGACTGTATAATAAATAATTCAAAAGAGTAAATAAAAAATTGTAAAAAGAGTAGTTCTCTAAGCCCAAAAAGTGGTATAGCAGCAGAATGGCATCTATAAATGCAGAATACACACAAAGAGTGACAAGGGTTGCTTGTTTGTCAGGAAAGGATTGTTGAGCAATATTAGATAGTACTTGTGTTACCACATAAAAATGGCCTTCTCTCTTTTCTCCTCAGCATTCAACTTTGTGTGCTTACTTGGTGCCAGCCCTTCACAAGGGTGGAAGTTGAGGTAAGTGGTTCAAAATGTAGCCTTGAAACTTGTGGTTTGGCCTTTCTTATCATAGTGAATTTTCAGTCTGGAGAGATCAGATGTAGAAAGATTGGAAGTTAAGTTTGTCACCTTGAAAATAAGCCCTGTTCTTTTGCAAATTGTGTATCTAAACCCAAGCTGTCAGAGCTAGCGCTTAAACTGTGTTGGGAAGCACAACTTCCTAGCTTCTGGGAATTTCCCACATGTCACCACCCTGATTGGCCATATTTGCATCACTCACTCCTATCTTTTTATTCCTTTTAATGCTGACAAATAGATTTAAGGGACTAGGTCTGAGAGACAGAGTGCCTGATGAACTGTGGATGGAGGTTCGTGACATTGTACAGGAGACAGGGGATCAAGACCATCCCCAAGGAAAAAAAATGCAAAAAAACAAAATGGCTGTCTGAGGAGGCCTTATAAATAGCTGTGAAAAGAAGAGAAGCGAAAAGCAAAGGAGAAAAGGAAAGATATACCCATTTGAATGCAGAGTTCCAAAGAATAGCAGGGAGAGACAAGAAACCCTTCCTCAGTGATCAGTGCAAGGAAATAGAGGAAAATAATAGAATGGAAAGACTAGAGATTTCTTCAAGAAAATTAGAGATACCAAGGAAACATTTCATGCAAAAATGGGCTCAATAATGAACAGAAATGGTATGGACCTAACAGAAGCAGAAGATATTAAGGAGAGGAGGCAAGAATACACAGAAGAACTGTATAAAAAAGTTCTTCACGACCCAGATAATCATGACGGTGTGATCATTCATCCAGAGCCAGATATCCTGGAATGAGAAGTCAAGTGGGCCTTAGGAAGCATCACTACGAACAAAGCTAGTGGAGGTGATGGAATTCCAGTTGAGCTATTTCAAATCCTAAAAGACGATGCTGTAAAAATGCTGCACTCAACATGCCAGCAAATTTGGAAAACTCAGCAGTGGCCACAGGACTGGAAAAGGTCAGTTTTCATTCCAATCCCAAAGAAAGGCAATGCCAAAGAATGCTCAAACTACCNGCTTACTCCTTGGGAGGAAAGTTATGACCAACCTAGACAGCATATTAAAAAGCAGAGACATCCATTGTCAACAAAGGTCTGTCTAGTCAAGGCTGTGGTTTTTCCAGTGGTCATGTATGGATGTGAGAGTTGGACTATAAAGAAAGCTGAGTGCCAAAGAATTGATGCTTTTGAACTGTGGCATTGCAGAAGACTCTTGAGAGTCCCTTGAACTGCAAGAAGATCCAACCAGTCCATCCTAAAGGAGATCAGTCCTGCGTGTTCATTGGAAGGACTGATGTTGAAGCAGAAATGCCAATACTTTGGCCACCTGATGCAAAGAGCTGACTCATTGGCAAAGACCCTGATGCTGGGAAAGATTGAGGGCAGGAGGAGAAGGGGACAACAGAGGATGAGGTGGTTGGATGGCATCACCAACTCGATGGACATGGATTTGGGTGAACTCCGGGAGTTGGTGATGGACAGGGAGGCCTGGCGTGCTGCGGTCCATGGGGTCACAAAGAGTCAGACACAACTGAGCTGAACTGAATGCTGACCTCTGCCAAGTTTCATGATAAGCCTTCACATCCTGACCAAAGGAGCTATAGTAGCTGGTGGAACCCCCCAGCTTCTTGAAGAATTATGTTCTGTGATATCTGAGAGATTGTGGGAGGCAGAGTCAGAAACTCTCATTTTTAGAATCAGTCTGCACGTGGAAAACCTGAAGAAATCGTGTTATATGAGCCATTAAGGCAGAAGAGCCATAAAGGCAGCTTGTATCATCATTCACAGGACACTTTTTCACATTCAGTTCCAGTGGCAGGTGGGGAGTGGGGGAGTAATTAGAATGTTCTGAATATTCTGACCAGATTTTTAAGACTTTGAAGATTGATTCCAAGAACTCTGCTTAGTTTCTAGGGATGACATGGAATAATGGGCCTGGGCCTTTGAGTTCAGAGTCTTGTTGGCTTTGGTGATACCCTTAGGTAGCCTCTGAAGAGAGAGGATCAGAATAGTGGTTCTCCAGATTTTTGCCTGGATTTTCCAATTGCATCCTCAGCTTTTGTAATGAAAACCTTAAGTTTGTGTATGTAATTCAGAGTCCTGAGTGGGGGCCAGTGCTCTAAGTGATAGGACTGTGGAATTTAAGTTATAAGAATCCTATTTTACCTTGTTGGATAGCTTGGTTATTCAGCCATTTAGGTGTCAATAATGCCAAATGTTGTAGGAGCACAAATTATGTCAGAGTGAGTTTGACCACAATGAAATTTTTCTTGAGACTTGCTGGTTGCTTGCCTGCCGTGAAAATACTTGTTTATTAATTATGTGTCACACTTCCCCGCTTTTATAACCAGCTCAGTATCTCTCCGTGTGACCAGAAAACACTAGATCTTGGAATATACTTTGATGTTTCTAGAGAAGCAAGTTCAATTCCTGAGTCTATGAAATAAACTGACAACAGGTAGATTAACAGCGAAAAAGATATATACAAATTTATTAATCTGTATCCTAATAAGTTTAGAAAGTACGAGGAGAAGCAAAATGAATCAGATTTCTTTTTCTGAGACTTCTCAGTGCCTTTGAAATGTTTGACCACTGAACCCCTTTTCTCTCTGGAAACCCCCTAGAACCAGTGTTCCATAGAATAGCGTTTTGGGAATCCTTGTTGGAAAGAAATTCTTTATTACTTCTAAGTACTCTGAGTGCTGCTGTTCCTTCTTGAATAGCTGCTCAGATAGCTAGCCCTGTTTTCTTTATCTAAAAAGAAAAAGAAAACCCAAACATAAAACATGCATACTATCTTCTCTGCAAATTCAGAGATACTGTTTTTATATATGTGTGTGAGAAGTCACTCAGTCATGTCTGACTCTCTGTGATCCCATGGATTGTAGCCTGCCAGACTCCTCTGTCCATGAGATTTTCCAGGCAAGAATACTGGAGTGGTTGCCATTTCCTTTTCCAGGGGATCTTCCCGACCCAGGGATCAAACCCAGGTCTCCTGCATCGCAGGCAGATTCTTTACCACTGAGCCACCTGGGAAACTCATTTATATATATATATGTGTGTGTGTGTGTATATATGTATAAAAACTTAAGAGGAAGGAACAACATATATATATGTTGTTCCTTCCTCTTAAGTTACCCCTCTTTAGCTAAGATCTGTCAGTAGGTGTGAAAATGCATACAGAACTGTTCATGTTTTTGTCTAGCACACATGTCAGTGGTCAAATTCTGTTACAACAGAGGTATGCAAATTCCTCATGCTTTTGCCCTGACCATTGTTACCACATTTCCTTTCTGGGTCGTGGCTTCCTTTCTTTCTTTTCAATTACAGTGTTTGCATCCTCCTACCAGTTCTTAGACTATTCAAATATTTTCTGCAAAGCAAAGAATATATCCTTTGTTCGATAACTTCACACTCAAAATAGCTTTCAACTAGTTGAAAACAGCTGAATAGGTAGGGATTTGAGGTGTAAGAATTGACGATGGAAATTTGTGGAGTTCAAATGGGGTATTCTTGTTTTTGTTGTTGTTTAGTCGCTCAGTCGTTTCCAACCCTTCTGTGACCCCATAGACTGTAGCCCACCAGGCTCCACTGTCCATAGGATTTCACAGGCAAGAATACTGGAGTGAGTTGCCATTTCCTTCTCCAGGGAGTCTTCCAACTCAGGGATCAAACCTGTGTCTCCTTCACTGGCAGATGTATTCTTTACCACTGAGCACCTGGGAAGTCCCAATTCTTATTTTAATTGTAATTTGAAATTTATGAGTCTACCTTTCACCCAGGGGACTCCTAGCTACTTTATGCCTTTTGAATATGTTAATTCCTCACTATTGGGTTGTAATTGGAAAATGTGTCCCAGAGGCCCACCAGACACTACGTATATGCACACCATGGCTCAAGACTCTCACAAGGGACTTCCCTGGTGATTATGGAATCATTGGGACTTCCCAATGATTATAACTCTATTTCTGCTTTGCAAACTTTGCAAATAAGTTCATCTGTACCATTTTTCTAGATCACAAATGTAAGTGATATTATATGATGTTTGTTTTTCTCTTTCTGACTTACTTCACTCTGTATGACAAGCTCTAGGTCTATCTACGTCTCTGCAAATGGCACTATTTCAAAGAACTGCACATTTCTTAAGATTCACTTGTTAAAATCCTTTTCTGTTACTTAGAGGAGGAAAAGATTGATTGTCGTATCATTACTAATCAATCTTCCTCTCGTCGTCATCTATTTAGTAGAAAGGAATGTGCTCATGTGGTCAGTAAACAACGAATAAACCAGCTTTACTGGTTCAGAGTATTCATGCAAAAGACTGGCTCTGAGTAACAGAGAGCCTTAAACAATGCTTGAGGGAATTGGGGCTTAATCTTGTGTGGAGTCTAAGGCCCTTGAGGAGGTACTTTTGGGACCAAAAGTACAAACAAAGGATGCTAGTGTGGGAAGCAGTCCAGTTAGACTCTGACCTCCTCCTCATCTGGGTCAGAATGGTACAGAGTAAATAGGGTGAGGGAGGAGGGAAGATTGCAGCGAGGAAGGGAATGGAGCTGTGGAGCCTGTTTCAGGTGCAATGGGAAAGTGAATTGCAGTTCACATGGGATGCTGTAGGGGAGGAGAGATTTCCCTCTGCCCATCCAGGTTCAGTTCCTGAGTCTGTGAAATAAACCAACAACAGGTTGATTAACAGCAGAAAAGATATATACAGATTTATTAATTTTTCATGTGGTATACGCAAGGGCATCACAGGGAATAAAAAGTGAATACCCAAAAAGAGTGAGATTTGAGAGCTTGTATACCTTATTATTAATAATCAAACAGGGGAGGGAGGGCATAGGCCACTTAGGGGAGAATAAATGATTTTTAAGAAAGAACAGTAGGCTCTTAGAAGAGATGGGAGATGTGATGGTGTGTGATAAAGTTTGTCTGGGTGTGATGTTGCCTTCTGGTCTCCTGCCCTCTGATGAGAGTCAGTCTTGCCTGTATGATGAAACTCCCTAGGAGGAGATTTAGGACAGTTGAGTTCTTTTTGGAAGATCTGTCATAGGCAGATAAGGGGCGTTCAGAAAGCATCTCCCTCCACTGCTGTTTTTTCAAGTGTCTTCAGCTTAAAATAATCAATATATCTAAGAGGCATATTTGATGTGGCATGTCCTGAACTCCTTCACTGTCTCCTTTTCTAAACTTGAAAATGAAGTATCATTGAAATGAAAGTGGAATTGCAACTTGAGACACAAGGACCATGTTTGAAACAGGAAAATAGGATGGCAGCAGGTCAAAGAGGGATATAAGAGGACTTCCACACAGCAGTGAGGTTCAATTTAAGTAACTTGATCCTCGCCCATCACATTGACAATAAAAAAAAATAGACTTGGTGTTAAGATCATGTATTTTGGCCCACCTGCACAAACTAGGACAAAAAATCTTCAGTAGAAGAAACAAAAAAACTTTTTTTTGTCTCATTGCAGCTTGTGGGATCTTAGTTCCCTGACCAGGGATCGAATCCATGTCCCCTGGAATGGAAGTGTGGCGTCCTAAACACTGGACTGCCAGGGAATTCCCAAAAAAGTACTTTAATATTTGGAGCCAGCATGGTCACCTTGGGAAATTACATAATTTTTCAAGCAGCTCCAAGAACTTGAACATGAATTTGTAGTAGCCTCAGCCAGTGAGGTTTTGTACCTTTGCTGAGCATCTCTCAGTTAGCATCACTCTCTAACAGGATTGGGAAGGCAGGATCAGGAGAGGTGACTGAGCATGTGATTAGCACCTGCGTGTGGCAGAAGTGGCAGATTTAGGTGCAGAAAAGTCATATAGAAGTGTCTGACTCCCAAAGTCCAGTGTAGACAGGCAGACAGATGTTGCCAAGAGGGGTTGGATAGAGAAGGATGAAAAAAGGTGCTGAGAGAGACCATCAGGTTCTTAGAGTTTCTACATGACTAGGTTAAGGGAGGAGTAAACACTGATAGATAATGAGAAAGTCATGGAAAACCTTGTCAGAGGAGGATATTGGAATGGCCAAGGCAGAGTTGAGAAGAGTATCTATGGCCAGGTGAAGGGGCTGTGAAATCAAGATAGGCCATCAGTGTGGATACTGAGGATAGCAAGAGAAGATAAAGGTAGAAACTTCGTGGTAGAAAACTTATAGTCCTGGGGTCATGGGATATTTAGTTGTGTATTAGGGTTCAGTGATAGATAATGGCAATCATGTTACCCTCTCTCTGGCTGCTCTTCCTTCCAAATAAAAGATACGTTAATGCAGTGAAACTTGAATGACTTTGTACAAATTGGAAATGCGATATAGAGGACAAAGTCTTCTCCAAGGAGAAGTGACTTATTAGAATTTCCACTGAATGGCTTCTCAGAAGGGTTGGGGGTCTCCAAGACCTATGACTGTCAAATCCAGACTGTTAATTATTTTGAACTCTCAGTGGAAATTTTTTTTTATGTGGAAAATACTACCTGCTCTAAAAGCAACCAAACTCATAGTTCATTGTATTGTGTTCAGTTAGCAGTGTAACAGCAATGTGCTTTTATGACCCACCAATCAAGTGTATTATAAATGATCATTTGACTTTTTAAAAATGAATAGTTATTTGACAATTTAAAACTTTAATTGATCATATTATTTGTTAGTTTTTCTGTGAACATCTCTTTTAACATAGTTTTCTCCCTTGGATTTCATCCTAAGCAACTCTGAGAGATTTTAACTTGAACAGGATGGAGGGAACTTCTAGAATTATTTATTTGCAGATTGTTTGTTGCTCTGGATATATAAGTGGTGTGGGGACCTCTGGTGGCTTAGTTTATTTTTCCAGCTTGGAGAACGACTGGGTACTAAGTGAAAAGCTAGACTTAGAAGTCTGGTTGAAAAGGAGGGAATCTAGTCAAATTTTTTCCTTTGACAGTAGAGGTAATTGAGGCCTATAAAGGCTAAATGACTTTTCCAGGATCTCGCACAGCAGAGCCAAGGCGTCAACCCAGGCCCATTCTCTCTCCACACTGTGACATTGTCCTCTTGGAGAGGATGTTTAAAAAAAAAGTGAGAAGTAAAATGACATTATCCTATGATTTCTGTCCATTTTATCCTAAAAATGTCCTTTGGGTCCATTCTGGCCTCTACATCCTCCCTCTCTCTGCTCATGTTATTACCATCACTCACAGGTTGATTGCGGTTGTCTCCAGGGCTCCTCCCTGCTCTGAGCCTCTTCCCCTTTGGTTATCAACTCCCTGCCACCAAAGTTACTGCTCAAAAACTTGGACCTGGTCATTTGACTCTCTTGTTTAAACTTCATCTCTGAGTCACCATTGCCTGTAGGCTTCTTAAATATGATTAACAGGCTTGAAAACAGATCTGTGTGAGTCCGAAAGTGGTGTTATTTATACAAATCTTTATTTTTCTTTCAAGCTGTGACCTGGTCATTTGTGTGTGGCCTTAGCTATATTGTTTAACCTCTCAGAGCCACATTCTTTACCTATCAAAGGGAAATGGGTAGAATTTGCCTCATGAAATTGTTGAAAGAGTTCATCACATAAAACCCTTTATATAGGACTGGATAAAGTAGATGTGGTACATATATACAATGCAATATTACTCAGCCATATAAAGGAATGAAACTGAGTCATTTGTAGAGATGTGGATGGACCTAGAGACTGTTATACAGAGTGAAATAAGTCAGAAAGAGAAAAATATCATATATTATTGCATATATGTGGAATCTAGAAAAATGGTATAGATGATCTTATTTGCAAAACAGAAATAGAGACACAGACACAGAGAACAAACGTATGGGTTGGGGGGAATGGAAATAGGGTGGGATGAATTAGGAGGCTGGGATTGAGATATATACACTATTGATACTATGTTTAAAATAGGTGAGAACCTACTGTATAGCACAGGGAACTCAGTGCTCCGTGGTGCCCTCAATGGGAAGGAAATGCAAAAAAGAGGGGATATTGGTATACCTATAACTGATTTGCTTTGCTGTACGGTAGAAACTAACACAATTATAAAGCAATTACACTCCAATAGAAGTTAATTAAAAAAAAAAAAAACCTTATATAAACTACCCAGCACACAGTAGGTGCTTGAGGATGGTAACTCTTATTGGTGGACTTAGCTCACTGAATCATACATTTCTGTCTCTACATGAAGACCTCCTTGAGTGCAGAACTTTCCTGTTGTGTTCTCAAGGCTTAGTGCGGTACCTGAAAGATACCAGGTGCCTAAGCAGTATTTTTTAAATGGAAATGAGCCATGAAATCTTGAGCAATTCATTTAATCTTTGTGAACCCCAATTCCTTATGACTAGAATTGAAAGGATGAGTGAAATAAAATAATACATATTAAACACCTAGCATGGGGCCTGGTTCATAACTGATAAACAATAGCTATTGACAAGATCATGCTTACCCTCAAAAAGTCAAGATCAAGTGTTAGGTTTTCTGTAAAACCTCTTTGATTGCTTTTCCCAGCCCCTTGGCCAAATTAATAATTTCCTGTCACTCATACTCATACTCCAGGAGAGTTGTAAAATATGACAGACAGGCCTTGGGCTGAATCCTGGTCATGTGACCTATATAACTTTAAATAAGTTAATTAAGCTTTTAAGCCCTATCATTAGGGATAATGGTAGTGTGTGTTGTGTCAGTCTACGCTATTAAAATATGTATCTTCTTTAGAGCAGGAGTTAGGGTTCTGTTCTTCTTACCTGGTACATAGTAGGTGCTCAAAAAATGTAAAATGACTTAAATACAGTACCAAAACCTTGTTGATGTTAGAAAACTATAACCAAAAACAAGGACAGTATCAATGAGGTATCACAGAATATCACGTGGAGAAAAAAAGTAAAATTTAAAATGATAAAGGAAAACATGATGTTAGACAAAATATAGAAAGCCCACACAGGGTTAAAAAACAAGCAGAAGAAATGATAAAACATAAAGTTTGATCAAGTGATAAAGTATGACTGATACAGGAATAGATAGAGAAGATAAACTGCAAAAAACAAAGTGCTACTCCTAATAACATTTTCAAACGCAAAGGCTGGGTGGGAGAAAAGGCAGCTTTGAGAATAAGATCTGAGCAGTTTCAGCTTTACGGCTTCCAGAATTCCAGACATTGACTCATTTAATCCTCACCACAGCCTGGGATGTGGGTGATCATAGCTCTCTTTTTAGAGTTGAGGAGACAGTTAAGAAAATTTAAAGGTCATAATAGTTAACATACAGAAAGACCCAGAGCTTGAATTAACATTTCCTGAGTCCAAGCACAGTGTTCTTTACATTCTATCTTGTAACCTGTGTGCTAGAAAGGCAGGGGATTTCATATAATGACAGCTTATAAATTAATTTATTTAGCATTTAAAGTCTTAGGCCTCACAATTGTAATGGAAAGGTTTATTTGCCTTTCAGTTTATGCCTGTTCAAGTACCAAGTGATGAAGAAAGAAGTGATCCTGTCCTTTTTGCCAGTAGAATCCGGAGTTTAATGGCAGAGTAAGTATCTGTATGTGATTATAATCCGTAAATAGTTTTTAAATTATTGGTAAATGACATTTACTATTGTTTGAAGTTTTTGTTTTTTTCTTCTTGAGGGCCTCATTCCCCAACTCATTTTGGTAAGGAAAAAGAATGTTGCCCAGGAATGTAGTCAGTAAGACAATCTATAAATATTTTCCCCAAGATGTAACCCCAAACTATTGGAAACATGCCTCTGCCAGAATGGGAGCAGGAAGGGTACATGACCCAGAAGAAACCAGCCAGTGACTTCCAAAGGACGGATTCCCCCAACCTGGCCTGTCACCATCAGACAAAGGATGGTCTGAGCAGTTTATGCCGTGACCCACCTTCTATCTTCTTAGCCTCCATGTAGCTGCTGAGGCCGGGTGTTTCAAAGGCATAAATGATTACAGCACAAAAAAGGAAAAAGTCTGCAAGGGACTGCCCTAGATGCCTAAAAAAGGGGAAAAGTCACCCTCACTAAGGGGATAGCTATAAACTTAGGATTTAGAAACTGCAAAACATAAGCCAAGTGTTTTCCTGCACATAAAGGAGTTTTAACTGATTGCTCTTCTGATTATATAAATTACCTCTCCTCCTATAATGAAATAGTGTGTTATATTGAGTTGGTTTTTTCTCAAAAACCCTAATGAACTTTTTGGCCAACCCAATACTGTCCCCACCACCCAGGCAGTCTCAGAGCCCTCCAGGTGTGTATACTCTCCCCCAGCACCACATCCTTCTGTCATGTGCAGCAGTGGGTTTGGAGCTAATAAGCCAGCTGTATTTATTCTCTTAGTGAAAATGCAATGAGAACTCTGAATTTAGCTTCATATCTGAATTTGGCATTATAAACAAGATATATATATTATATCAGTATGTTTATATATATTATATATATTAATACTTCACAAGAAACTAACTTTATTTTCAAAAAAATAAATGTCTAAGTCTTTGGCTGAAAAAGTTTTGTTACTCTATGTCCCAACATGTAGTTGATTTACCTAGTTTCTCGAGCAGCTACAAAATTTGCTTTGATGTTGTTTTCTTCCCTTTTCCCTTGTGTTTTCATACTAGCTTATGTCCAAAAGTTAGGAAGGAAGATAAGTATGAGGAAATGACATAATTTATATGAGATATTTTGACTTCCTGAAATGTCTAAAAACATTTTTTTGTGTGTGCCTAAAAACAGAGGAAGGATTTGTTTAAGCATCCTTTTCCTGGATTTGGAGGCGTGGAGGTAGAAGGGCCTTGGATAAAGAATAAGGGAGCAGATTTCCCTGGTGGTCCAGTAGTTAGGACACCATGCTTCCAGCACAGGTGGTGCGGGTTCGATTCCTGTTTGGGGAACTAAGATCCCATATGCTGCATGGGGTGACTATTCTTTACCACTGAGCCACCAGGGAAGTGAGAGTCTCTTGACTGGGATTCAGATCCATACTTCATGTTACCAAAGCCAAAGTTCTTGACTGTTTTGTTCTGTTCACTGTTATAATTCCTGAAGTGTTTTTTAATTCTTCATATTTTTTACACCAAATACTTATTAATCAAAACAGCTTAGTTGCAGGTAAGAAAAAAATGTTTATTCATATTGCATTCATTTAAAATTTAAAGTTCTTAGCCATGATTCAGCAAAGTCAAATAACAGCTGATGACATAATTTTATGATTGTCACTGAATAGGTGTGAATAAAACTTTAGCCAAGAGGGATCTGCAGGAAATTTATGTACTGCACAGGTGTTCTTCTTGTCACATAGGTGTCTTTTCAAATTCTTGTTAATATGTATTTTTGCCAAGTCTGGTTCCCTATTAGTAGATCTCTGAGCAGGAAGGAGGTAATTGGAGTTGTGCACCTCTTTGAGGATGGAGGGTGTTTAGGTTTGGAAGAAATACAATCTTATTATCAGTTCTGTTTAGTATTTTTTGAACAGTGCTGGGTAGCAAGAAGACAATCTTCAAACTTAAAAGATGAAAAAATGCAGATGACTAATGATTTGTATAAACTATTCACTTATAATATCTAGGTGTCATTTATCTGTTTAAATAGCATGTCCATAGGCATTCTTAGTTGGTCCTTAGAATAACCCTGTGGTTGCTTTGTGTTGTTTAGTTGCTAAGTCATGTCCAACTTTTTTTGTGACTCCATAGACTATAGCCTGCCAAGCTCCTCTGTCCTTTGAATTCTCCAGGAAAGAATACTCGAGTGGGTTGCTATTTCCTTCTCCAGGGGGTCTTCTTAGCCCAGTGATCAAACCCGTGGCTCCAGCTATCTCCTGCATTGTAGGTGGATTCTTTACCACTGAGCCACTAGGGACGCCCACAGTAACCCTCTGCAGGAAGTGACTATTCCTATGCGCAGATGAGAACAGTGAGGCTTAGGTTAAGTGCCAAAAGTTCCACAGCTGGTAAAAGACTCCACAGAGCCTTCAACTTAAGTTTTCTCATTACTTTCCATGGACTGAAGTCAACTACTCTTATCATTGTGGTCAAAACACAAAAATGGCGAGCTGGCAGAAGCACATAGACATAAGGAAATTGACTTGGGCCACAGTAATCTGTGAAATAAAGAAATATGTCTTTGGCAATAACAAGCCAAAGTCACTGGTTCAAAAGGTAGTAAATACTTTTCCATTTACTGTTTGTTGACCAATTCAAGCTTACTGAAACATCGTCACCTTTTTTAAAAAGTTGAATTTGTTTGCTTTTTAATACTTTATAGAGCTCTGAAAATTCCAGTAACAGATCACACCTACGAAGACTGCAGATTGATGATTTCAGCAGGCCAGTTGACACTGCCTATGGAAGCTGGGTTGGTGGAATTTACCAAAATCAGCCGGAAATTGAAGTAAGCATATTTTAAAATCACCACACTTCCCTAAAGGTGTCCAAAAGAGATCCGAAATCCTGTATGTTTATTTTCTCTGGTTTCATTAATGTCCAGCTCTAGAACCTACATGGTGTTTATTAGGAAAGCCATTTCATTTATAGTTTTGTTTGTTTAAAGAAATGCTACTTCAGAAATGTTTGTTAGTAGTGGGAGAACAAGAGATAGTAAACATGGGTCAGTACAAATCTACCTCTCTACTCAGAAATGGCTCAGAATAGTTAGTCAGTCCTGCCACCTTCTTATGAGAAGTATGGCGTAGGGACTTCCCTGGCTGTCCAGTGGTGAAGGCTTTGCCTTCCAATGCAGGGGTTGGAGTGCACCCCTGGTTGGGGTGTGAAGATCCCACAAGCCTCACAGCCAGAAAATCAAAACATAAAACAGAAGCAATACTCTAAAAATTCAATGAAAACTTTAAAAATGGTCCATATAAAAAAAGAGAAGGATGGCACAGTTATATGGTACTGGCATAAGGTGGTCAGAACTTCTCATGTGAAATAGAAATTGACTTGTAGAGAAGCAACTCTGACCATCATTACATTTTAAATACTTCCCTAGATCAACCTTCTCCTTCTGGGCACATAATTTTTTTTTAAGGCAAAATACTCCTTTGTGATTTTATGATCTAGTTTAAAACTGTTTAGAACATTCCCTTTGAAGTTCATGGTAAGAAGGTGTAGCTTCCACATCCCTCTCTGATTACAGTTCATTGTTTTCAGGCGCATCAGTAGACCTTGGCATCCTCCCTTGGAGGGAGCTGCAGAACCAGTTACTGTATTAAAGTTCAAAAATTAAAAAAAAAAATATTTTGGGAGCTTCTCTGGTGGTCTAGTGATTAAGAATCTGCCTGCCAGTGCAGGGGACACAGGTTCGATCCCTAGTCTGGGAAGATCCCACATGCCAAGGAGCAACTTAGCCCACGGGCAGTAACTACTGAGCCTGAGCTCTGGAGCCCATGAGCCACAACTGCTGAAGCCTATGTGCCTTAGAGCTCATGCTCTGCAACAAGAGAAGCCACCACAATGAGAAGCCCAGGCACTGCAATGAAGAATGGCATCCGCCCTCACCACAACTAGAGAAAGTCTGAGTGTAGCAATAAAGACCCAGTGCAGCCAAAAATAAATAAATAAGTAAAATTTAAAAAATACTTTTTGATAATTGATGTAGGAAATATCATTTATATCTTCTACATAACAATGTTTTGATATTGTATTTTTACAATATTCGTATAGATTTGAAAAATTTAGATAGTCAATGAACTTAGATGTAGAAGTATGTGTTAAGTCACCTGTTTAATTCTACAGGATATGATATAAGCCACTGTATATTTTCCAGTGTTTTAAAGTTTTTTATAACTAACATTGGAGGAAGTGTGCATAGTCTAATGAATCCCCCATCACAACATTGTGTGAAATGTGAGTCCATTATCAGCTGGAAAACACCTTGAAAACAAGAATTATATCTTTTTTAAAAATAACTCAGTAAGTATTGTTGACTTTAAGTAATATTTAGATTAAAATGTGAATCCTTGTTTTCTTCTCATGACTCATTTATTATCCTACCACATTGCTCATCCTCCCAGTTACTTTTCTTTCTCTCAGATACTTAGGATAATTACAGTTATGCTAATACTTTAAAAAAAAATTAGAAGTCTGTAATCATGTCCAGTATGTGCTTTAAAATATTCATTTTATTCTCCCTTTCAGATATTAACACTTCAAATATTTTCCCATCAGACAGATGAATAAAATAGCGCTCACAAAACATCCATGTGGATTGTGAAGGGCTAATAACGTGTCTTCATAACTCTTTGTTTAGATTGGATTGGGACGGGATTCGAAAGCATTTGGATGAGTATGCCGCTATTGCAAGTTCCTCAAAAGGAGGAAGAATTGGAATTGAAGAATTTGCAGAGTATTTGAAGTTGCCTGTTTCAGATGTCTTGAGACAACTTTTTGCACTCTTTGACAGGGTAGGTTAAAGTTTAATCTTTAACATTTTTATTTCATGAGTCCCCGCAGAATATAAATCAGTATGGTAGGCATTAGAAAAACTTGCTAGGTCACTGTTAAAGAACAAGACTGAGCCCATAGTTAAATTGCATGATTTTGATTTTTCCCCTTAATAGTAGTAGTAGTAGCACTAGTAGTAACAATAATAGTAATAGAATAATAATTGTGAATACGTGTATGGCAACTGTTATGAGTGTCTACTTTTTATTTTTATTTTATTATTGAAGTACAGTTGCTTTACAAATGTTGTGTTAGTTTGTGGTGAATCAGCTGTACGTATACATATATCCCCTCCTTCTTGAGCCTCCTTACCATCCCACCCCCCAAACAACTATAGTTTCTGTTTCTTTAAACACCAGGTCAGAAATAAATATTGTCACCATATAACCATATTTGTGTATAGAATTGAAAACGTTTATATAATTAGCAAGAATTTTAAAATTTATGTAAAAATCATACATTGATGATATTGGTGGCACTATTCTATTTTGAAGGTTTCTGGACTTTCCCCAAAACATCTGAAGACCAAATAGATTTTAATTTATTTATAACTAAGCTTTTAATTAAAGCTTGACTGTTTGTCTTTATAGAGGGGTTTCAGTTTTCTGTTTATGAATATGTATGTACATGGAGTTAGATAACTGAATTGTCAAAAGTTTCCTTAGGAAAAATGCATCAAGACTTCAAGTTCTCTCTCTTTCAGTTTGTTTTTTTAATATGTAAAACTTACAGTAAAACTCACTTTATGATTATAGTTTTGTGAGTTCTAACAAATGTATAGAAGCATGTAACTACCACCACATCCAAGATACACAATAATTGGGGAAGAAATTCCCTGTAGGTATGCTTTTGTAGTCAGGCCCTTCCCTCACTTTTAACTGCTGGCAGTCACTCCATCCCTTTAGATTTACCTTTTCCAGATGCCATACAAATAGAATCATTTAGTATATCCTTTTGGGTCTGGCTTCTCTCATTCAGCATAATGCATCTGAGATCCAGCCATATTGTTGCCTGTATCAGTAATTTGTCTCCTTTTATTGCTGAGTGATATTTCTATTGTGTGGATGTACCACACTTGGTGTATCCATTCCCCAGTTGAGGAACATTTGGTTTCCAGCTTTGGGCTATTATGAATATAACTGTTCAAAGTGTTCACATAGAGGTTTTTGGTTGAATGTAAATTTTCCTTTCACTTGGTAAACACTTAGGATTGGGTAAATACTTGGGTTGTGATCTTTTTATTTTGCAGTCGTTCCTGAAGGATATTTTGGTTGTACATATATAGAATTCTGTATAGAGTTCTTCCCTTTCAACAATTTAATAATTTCATCTTTTGCCTTCAGACCTCCATGATTGCACTGCCTAGCTAGTTGTTTTTCAACTGCCTCCTGCTGCTGTATTTTATCCAGAGATAAAGTATTTTATCAAGAGATGAAGTGCTTGCTTTTTCCCCCCCTCCTCCTTCTGTAGGGGAAAGGGAAGTCTTTTTAAAAACTTTTTTTTACATTATTATTATTATTTTGGCTGCAAGGCATGTGGGATCTTTAAATTCCCCGACCAGGGATTGAACCCATGCCCCCTGTATTGGAAGTGTGCAGTCTTAATCACTGGACTGCCAGGAAAATCCCAAATGTAGTGATTTTTGAATTTCAATGAGAGCCTGTGATTGTAGTGAGAAGGAGAGATAGGCTGCCCTGGGATCATTCCATCCTGGCTGGCACCAGAAGTCCCAGTTCTCTGTCTACCACTGGGAAAAGATAACTTTGCAAAGAAATTATAGCTTGATGACAGAAACCAGAACAGAGCTTTTTTTTCTTCTTACCCAGAGCTCATTAATGTTCCTAATGCCTTACTCTGTGATCTCTTAGATGAGCTCTTCTTTAACATGAGGCAGATAAGCAACCTTCTTCTGTATGGATTGTGCAAACCTCCCTACTGGGCTTGCTGCAGCATACAAATAATCTTTCCTTGTCCAAGAAAAGGTCATGTATCACTGCAATGGTGCTGCTAAAAAGTGTAATGAAGATTTAAGAAAAAGGAGAGATAAATTACTAGATATAACCATGCAAATTGGGAAAAGAAAGGATCTTTTCACTTGTACCATTACTTGTGTTTCTATGAGATTTATATAGCATCTTTCAGTATGGCTCTGGGAACAATAAAAGCAATCTTAAAGTTTTTAGAAATATGAACTTGGTGACAGGAAGGAATATGGCAGGGGCATACAAATAAGGACAGAAAGTGAGGAAATGGGAAGTGACATGAAACAGGGACCAAGGAAGTTCAGAGCACAGCAGATGTTATGCTCATCAAGATTTTAAATCAAGATTAAAAATAATCTCTATAGAGGTTGCCCCACCTTTCAGGTGTTGAAGTATCATAACAGCAGTAACAGGGTTGTGCTGACACAGTTCTGTCTTTTGATGACTAATGATACCTGCCAGTGGCTTCATTGTTTCTATAGCACTGGGATGTACGGGAAGATTTGGGAGTAGGGAAGAGAGTGTAAACCAAGGATTACAATAAACCTAGTAAGCCAAAGTGACTCACTCTGAGCTAGAGAATACAATTGACTCCAAGCAGTTTGGAGAGCCTTTGTGGCCAGTGTGGTCAATCACAATTTTGCATGCACTCCTTCAGTCGACTCACGTACCAATTATTTCTGTGAGTTTTCTTCACTTCTTTGTGTAGTGTGTAGACTTGACTTTAGATATAGACCATGAGTTGGTCTTTAAAACACATTTGATCTCTAACACCCTGAAAGGTAGAGAAAATAATCTGGAGAATTAGCAAGGAATGCATTTGACCTTTCTTTCCTCCTTCCTTTCCTTCTTTCCTTTCTTTTCTCTCTGTCTCTTCTTTCTCTCTTTCCGTTTTTGTTTTTAACATACCTGCATGTCTGAGCCTGTGAAGATTTGCTTTGTTTTGAGAAGCTGAACTATGCAGTCATTGCCGCACCCTGTGTACATCCCCATTTCCAGGCTCTCTTTGAGAGACTTAGCTGGGGAATGTGTGTGTGTATGTGTGTGTTCCACAGGAAAGACAAAGAAGTTCAGTAATGTCATAGTTTGTTTCTGTCTGAGTAGTTTATCTTGCTAAACTCAGTGTTTATGAGGGGTGGGGGAGGAAGAAGGGTGGAAAGAGAGAGGGTGGGGTGTTCCTCTTGTTCTTTCAGTAGCTATAAATTTTTGCAGGGCAGAGGGCTCCTCCCATGTGCCTTTCCCAGTTTATCCTCCGTTTCCCTTTTTTCTTTACTTCTCTCAATCTCTCCCAAGTCTCGTTCTGTTGTGGTTGGTATTTGGGGGAAGTAGAGAGACCTAAGTATCTCTCCATGTTCCCTTACTCTTTTTTCCCACATACATCCCTGGCTAGTCTGCAAAAAACTTCTTAACGGTTTTCATCTCAGTCTGGTTCCTGGAAAAAAAAAAACCCAAAAAACTCTGTCTATTCAGTTCCTTCTGATAGTCTCACACATTCTTTTAGATTGTCAGATATGTGATGGCAGATAATTTAAAGGTTCAACAGAAATGTGGCATTCATAATCCAAAGCATGGCATGGTTCAGTGAAAGTAAAGTGAAGTCATTCAGTCGTGTCCGACTCTTTGTGACCCCATGGACTGTAGCCTACCAGGCTCCTCTGTCCATGGGATTTTCCAGGCAAGAGTACTGGAGTGGGTTGCCATTTCCTTCTCCAGGGGATCTTCCCAACCCAGGGATCAAACCCAGGTCTCCTGCATTGCAGGCAGACACTTTACCATCTGAGCCACCAGGGAAGTCTTAGTTTGGGATAATTTCCTTAGGAGAAGTCTCATCTCTTTGACAAAAAAAGGAAAAAGACCCTTTTGCTCTTTAGGTTTCATTCACATTCTTTATTTTCCTGAATGTACACTGAATTCTCTAGATCAGAGGGTGATTTGGATTAGTCAAAATTTCAGTTGAGTTAGAGTTGAGAGCTGAGACAATGGTTTAAAATTGTTTTTAAAAAGTTAAGAGTGGCTTCTCAACATTTTTTATATTCATAATTCAGTTTTCAAGACTAGAATTTTTGCCAGCACTCTCGAAGGGATTTAAATGCACTTAATGGGACTAAGAGACAATACTGGCTAAGTCAGAAATGATTATAAACAGTCATTTTTACAGTTATAATAGTGTCCACACAGCATCACTTTATTTCATTCATTCTTCAGTGCTGTTTCCTTGAGTTGAACCTGTGCTGCCCTGATAGCAGTATTTTATATACCCATGAGACAAAGTCCTCAAATGGACTTTAGGATACATGTTGTCTCTTTGTTGCTAGTTTGACAATATTCCATGTTATCTACCTCTTACTAGGGACAAGTCACATCTCGTCTAGGCTACATCTCATGATAAATTCAGTGTAATGCTCCACGTGGCACACATCACCATGCATATGTATATGTGTGCTCAGTCATGCCCAGTTCTTTGCAACCGCATGGACTGTAGCCCTCCAGGCTCCACTGTCCTTAGAATTTTTCCAGGCAAGAATTCTGGAGCAGGTCGTCATTTTCTACTCCAGGGGATCTTCCCAACCCAGGGATCAAATCCACATCTCTTGTGTTCACTGGTGGCAAACCTATATTTCAACGGTTAGCAGACTGTTTCAGCAAAGAGCCAGATAGTAACTATTTTTGACTCTGTGGGACATTTGGTCCTAAACTTTCAGCACAACTTGCACAACTGAGTAAAATAGCTAATCCACCCCACTTAAAAAGATTTTTCTGTTTATTTCCAGTCACTTAAGCCTCTTAAGTACCCTTTACTAACTCTCAGCATGGAAATCTGTATAATACAGCACCCTACCTTCTCTAACAGGGAAGGGCAAGCAAGGATGCTTGTTATTGTTGGCTCATGATTTAACACTTGAACTAATGTCAAGAACAGGGCATACAGGAAGAACTTGGGATAAAGAAACACATTGATTCCACACAATGATAAATAG